TCTGCGACTCCTCCTTGGTGGTATCTCTAAACCCTAAACCCTAAACCCTAAACCCCTAAACCCTAAACCCTGAACCCTAAACCGTGTAAACCCTAAACCGTAGCAAACTGACACGAAGGTGCCACCTGAGAGGCTCTAGGACGAATGCAGAAATGGAGCGTTGGCTAGGAGGTGCTTTTAAAGCCTTTGAATAATATTAGTAGGTAAGATCCTCTTAAGCCCAATAAGAGCAAATATAAAATGTCCCAAAGCACTACCTAGTTGGATTCTACTATTTGCTTAAGAACTTCCCAAAAAATAAAAATAATAATCCCTATATTATCCCTATGAGGAACATATTTTTTATTTTTTTGGGGGTTCTTAAGCAATTAGTAGGATTTAGGTGGGTTTAAGGTTCAGGGGATATCCGTCGGGTGTCGGGTTTTGAGGTTTAGCCTTGCCGGGTTTCCGGAATCAGGGCTCAGATGTGGAGGGTTGAGGGGTTTAGAGTTTAGGGTTTAGGGTTTAGGGTTTAGGGTTTAGGGTTTAGGGTTTAGGGTTTAGGGTTTAGGGTTTAGGGTCCCAAGCCCTACAAATGGTAGGCTATGACCCCTTCAATATCTCAAGCAGTAGGGTGTCGGATCCACAGGTAAAGTTTTCTGCCTCAGGGTCCCTGAACCCCAGCCGCCCGACACACCACACCCAAGAGCCTAAACCCTGGGGGATCAACGACTTTTTGTAGCCTGGACCTCTTCATAAAACCCTAAGGGCCCAAAGGACCTAATAATTAGGTAATCGGGTTTAGGATAGTAGTTATGTAGGTTACTAGTTTGGAGAGTAGATGATAATTAGGTACTTGGACCCTTCGGGAAAGGCTTAGGGTTTAGGGTGAGTCGAGGGTCTGCTGAACCCCCCTGAATCCTCAAACCGCAAACTTTGAACCCTGAACCTGCAGTTGAGGTCAGAACAGGATACTTCACGTGCTGGCTGAAGTAGAGGGCTGGCATGACCCAGCGGTCCTCAGCAAAGGTGGGATCAAGGCAGCAGATGCGTTTTGGGGCTTTCGGGCCTTCGGGTTTAGGGGTTTGGGGTCTCGGGCTTCGGGTTTGGGTGGTTGAGGGCCTTTTTTGGTGACTGCTGGGTTTCGGGTTTCCAGGGTGACCGCATCGAGCAGGGATGGGCCTTTCCGCAATTTGTCTGTGAAAAGGATTTGTTAAACCGTTCAGACACCGAGTCCCTCCTCTGTCTGGTTCTTAGTAGGGAACGGGGGAATGGATTATGGGGACTGCTGTAGGGGACCCTTAAGGGACTACTATGGGGATCCATTCCCCCAAGAACCAGACAGTCCTTCTCTTGATGTCGAAACTCCGACTCAAAAAACAACACCCTTCGCAACTAATATGCGACCGACAACCCCTGAGAACAACGAGCCCAGAGCCAACCTCAAAGCCCTATAAAGCCTAAATCCCAAGTCCCACACCGCAGCGTAGAGCAGGCCAACTCAGCCATGCAATACATAGGCCTTACGAATCAGAAAGTGGCCTGGACATGTATTATAGCACCCGCTATAGAATGAGGACCATTAAGCGAGACTGTTACATACAGTCTTACCTTTTATGCAGGCCCGTATATGAAGCAAAAGGCAAGCCCAAACAAGCTCCAAAAGACGTGCAGAAAGCCGTAGCGTGTGTACGGAATCTCTGGCTATGATGCAATTGCAAAGTGGCAGGATGCGCACGGCTTGTGTGTTGCATAAGCTACAGCCTAAGCCCACACAAACCCTCGAAGCACCTGGCAAGGCACCACAATGTACAAAATTTGGTCAAATCCTCTACAACCCACATGACGATGAACAAACCTGATATAGGAGCCTTGATATTTAAAACAACCATCATAGTATGAGTGTACAAGAACCACCAGGGAAGATTATTACCGATAGTAAAGTTGCCGAAAAACCTAACACCACCAGTCGCGCAGAGGTCTGAGTTGCCGACGCTGGCCCAAGTGTAGGCAACCTGCCACGTGAATGCAAACGGAGTCTTATACATAGAAGCAGGAATAACCATGGCAATATTATTCCTCAGGGTTCCAGATTATGTTCGACAGTAGGCCCCGAAACCCTCTTCTATGTGTTAAGCCCCTATATGAGGGCGCGATTCAGGGTTGGGGGTCATGGCTTGTGCCTTGTGGCTTGGGGCTCTCGAACTTAAACAACACCAAGGCGAAGTGATGTCTTTCCACCTTTTAGGGTTTAGGGCTTAGAAGTCTTAGAATGTTCAGGGATTAGAGTTCCGGGCTTTGGGTCTAGTTAGGGCTTAGGCTTTCCCTCGGCCAGCTGGGGCAGTTTATTGCATGCTACTCTCTGTTTTGGGGGTCGGCACGTATCTCTTACTTCCGAGCAGACAGTAGGCCATTCATTCCTACAACCCCCCGAACCCAAAGCCGCTCAGCCACGGAGTGTGCCGTATACTAAGCCCCCGGACACTGAAGCGCTACGCTAGGTGGGGCTTTTAAAGCCTTTGAGAAATATTAGTAAATAAGATCCTCTTAAGCCCAATAAGGGAAAATATAAAATGTCCCAAAGCCCTACCTAGTACGGGCCTACAGACATGTTGGAATAGATCGCCAGTCGAGCCTGCTGGTCCCAGGCGTAGTTGAACTGACGAGCACCTTCCCAGGACTCATAGACCCAGAGAGCCCAATACCCCTTAATTAAGGAATACCTGTGGAGCCAAAAACCTACAGTTTTTAGGGTTTTACCCTGTAATTAAGGTGTCATAACCTACTATTTTGCAGGGTTTGGGGTCACAGGTATGGTTTAAACTATAAAGGGGCTCATATTGGGCTCTCTGGGGAGCTATACAGGGTCTAGGGCGTAGTTGTCGGGCCTGCTCAATTAAAATGGGCCCATAAGTAGCGCGATATTGTGTAGTGGGGCCTGCAGAAATGGGCGATGGTAGCATAAGGGAGGGTTCGACTGCTTTAGCAGTTGAGTCTTTGCTGGCTCTGTGGTTGTTTTGTGCTTTCTTGGGAACGCTAGGCACCTAGGGTTCCATGTTTCAGGGCCGCTCACTAAGCAAGCCATGCAAAGAACACTCGACACCATCATGAATGTTTGTACTATATGTTAGTTTAAACCATCTTAAGCCCAAAGCCCCAAACCTTAAACCCAATATTTACACATATGCTTGCGGATATTGATATGCACTTCTGTCAGCCCAGAAAGCCCCAAGCTTCAACAGTCACGCTCCCAAAACAATCAAATCCGAATGCATCCGCATTCCTGAGAATTCGCAGTTCCAAGCCAAATCTCACAGTCCCGAAAAATGTCCATTTGAGTGTACTGTGACTAGGAGAACGTTGGGCCTAACCTTCTCCGCCTCAAAAACAACACGAAAGCCCAAGCCCCTAAGACCTCACACCATTAACCTACACCCTAAAACCCCAAACATAACCCTAAACCCTAAAACCTACACCTTTTTGAACCCTTAACCCTCCCCCCCCTTAGGTGCAGACCGTAGTCGTGGTTGCCGAGGACGGATAGCCAGGGCTTTCCCGCCAGAGCCCCGGAGTAGACCCAGTTGAAGGCCTGGTGGCTCCCAACACCCCTACCCTAAGGCTCCATGTACCATATAGTATATCCTCAGGCTTTAAAATACCTTTTTAGACCCCTTTAAGGCTTAAGTTTCTACTATAAGGGTTTATGGAGCCTTTGGGCTAAGGGAACCTTAAAGGACCTCAAGAAGAGACCCCTAGGGCCCGAGGGTGTACTTAAAGGATCATGGGACTTAGTAACTAGAGTTTAGTAAGGTAACTATACTTATAATCCCAATTAGGGTACTTATGACCTTACTTACTAAGTCCCATGATCCTCGAAGCAGGGTGGGGGGTTTTAAAAGGGTTTAGGGGGCTTATGAGGGTACCCTTGTTTAGGGTTTGCAAAGCCTTCAAGAATCGTTTAGATGCTCCTGTAGAGGTTACCGCCAAAGCCGGAGCTGATCCAGTTGACCCATTTCCCTTTCAAGGTAAGATCTCTTCTGATCCCCAAACACTACCTTAACCCCGAATAACCGACCTTTTTAAGGACTTATATAAGGAAATCATAATAAGGAATCCCAGAAAGGCAGGTTCTTTTAGGGTCCCTAGACCCTGAACTCAAAACGAACACATGGAACCCGGAGCTCGCCGAAATCACAAAACCCAACTCTAAGCCCCGAACAAGAAACAATGCACAAAACTGAAAGCCTAGCACCGCGCCCCGGAAAGCTAATCTTGCAAAGAACTTGAACAGCATCTAGGGTTTCTGAAGGGTTTAGCGCCTGCAATTAAGTTCTCTAAACACATAGGGGCCAGAATGTTTCAATATCAGAATAGAGCCTGGTGACATGCTACAACCATAGTACTCGTAGGAACCCTACGGAATAGTATCGTAGAGCTAACCTGTACTCAGGCTTCTCTATCCAGGCCAGAAGCCCTAAACCCAAACCCTACCAATAGTCTCCCTAGTTAGGATCCTGTAACGCTGAGGCAACCCAGAAGGGAAACTACAATGGAGACGCTACTTGGAGGATCGTGGGACTTAGTAAGTAAGCTTATAAGTACCCTAGGTGGGGTTATAAGTTATAAGTATAGTTACCCTAACTGAGGAAATGTGTCAGCAAGTGCAGTCGTGTGAGGTCGGCATGTGAGACAGCATACGGCAACTGCGATCCCTGTGGGCTCTAGGGAAGGCTACGGGGAAAGCCCTTGAGCTATGTGAAGAAGTCCTACGCCATTTGTAGGCATGTGCTGAGAACAGTTTACAGCAAAGCATGATCGATCAGACTTTGTACACCTAGTGATCTCATGCTGAGTCTTGACTTAGTCAGCGAAGCTTTGTCGTTGTCGCGGAAAACAATCTTTAGCAGTGCGAAGTCTGGGTTGCCATGGACGGTCCAACGACCTCAAAGGCTGTAAAACCTGAGAAAGTCAGGTTATGGGCGCCCAATCTGTTGATGATGGTGCAGGTGCTCCGCTAGCCAATGGTGCCGCCACAGGGACTTCCTATGGTGCGGAAGGAGAGGCGGAAACCGGAGCCAGAGGCTCGGGTCCAGTGGGCTCCACTGGATCGGAGACAAGGCAAGAGACTGGTCGTGGAGGCGGAAGTGAAAGCGGAGGCGCAACCAGTGCGCCGACTCTGCTGGCGGCGCCTACCTCGTCAGTGCAAGGCATTGTGGGAGAAGAGAGACGCGTGGATGCACCTGAACCAGGCTTCGCTGAGCAGGGACCAGAGACTCGCGCAGACACTATCGGCCAAGCTGGTACAAGCGGAGGTGGGTCAGCTACTCAAGAAGTTGGTGCGCAGGGCGGAGTGTTTTCTCGTGAGTGGAGTGATGAAGCAGCTACGAGGGATTTCCACACCCCGAGATCGTCAAGGTCGTTTGGTCCTGGTGGCGCCTTTCCGCGCCCGGGATTCCAAGGACAGTTGCCTGGATGGGTGACAAAGATCGGAGAATTCTTCAAGGCCCCGGCTGTGCAGTGGTTGCCGAGTCCGATTCCGTCTCCGCCGAGGCCTAGGCTGCTGAATATGGGTGAGTTTGATAGTGCTGGAGATGTTTCTGGGGCTCCTCGTGATGCAACAGCTGGAAATCGTCAGGAAGGTGGGTTTAGGGTGTATAGTCGCTCGGTTCCCCCTACTCAACAGACCCCAAGCAGCAGCAGCATTCCGGCGGAAGCAATTCAAGCGGAAGTTCAAAGGCAGCTAGGAGGTCTTCTTGATCGACTACAGGCAGCTGAGGGAGAGAACAATCGCCTTCAGGAACAGCTTGCATTGGCCCGAAAGGAGGTTCAAGATCGGCGAGCTCGAGATGTTGCTGAAGCAAGTAGACCTTCAGGAGAACCTCCAGTAGATCCTCCTCTTCTAAGTGCACCTGAAGGAGTACCACCCAGAGATCTTGAATGCCCACCTGGTCCCCGACCTGATCCATGGCGTGATCCGCTGGGTGCCCTGTGGGAAGAACTTCAGTCGAGAAGAGCGGGGTCTACGACGGCAGACCCAAGGACTCAGCGACCAGAGCCCTTGGCAGAAGGGATAAGCGCCAGAAGTGTGGAGGAGAGCGCAACTACGGCCATCCTTGAGGCTTTGACCAAGAACCTCACCAGTCTGCAGGAGCTACAGGCGAAGTCGATGAAGAGGGACTTGGACGGTGATGACGTGCCGGAGCAGGTGAAGACCAGCACGGTGAGTTTGCCTCTTTTACCTGGACCAGAGGGTGCGAGTGCAGGCATCATCTTGCAAGACTGGATGGCCCAGGTTGCAGTACCGATGCAGGACCTGTCTACGTCTTCAGGGGCATGGTGGACTGGAGTTGTGACTCTGGTCAAAGAGGCCTACTCGAAGTGGTTGGCAGCCACTCCGTTGGAGCGATTGCAGCTTGAGCCAGTGGTTCATGAAGTATGGACTGGGACCAAGTGGACGCGTGTGAACTCTAGAGCGTGCTCTTTGATTTTGCCGAGCTTGGTCGAAGCAGTGAAGTCGGACCTCATCGCCCGTCGTGCTGTGCAAAGTGCTCCACTGATCCTTTTTAGGCTTCATACGTGCTACCAACCGGGTGGTGCGTCCGAGCGCGCAGCAGTGCTGGCGAACCTTCAGAGTCCGGTGCAGCCCCCATCGCTGGATGAGACACTCACCTGGTTGAGATCGTGGCCGCGGTGGGTGCAAAGATGCAAGGACCTCAACATGATGATTCCGGACGGAACCATCTTAGCCAAGGCACTCACCTCAGCCACGATGAAGCACATGTCCGAGAATCAGGACACCCACTTTCGTACTCAGCTTCTGAGGTCTACGCTCAGGATCGATGGGCAGCCGGCGTTCGGGGATGTTGTCAAATATCATCAGCACTTGCAGGCGGAGGTGGAGTCAATGTTGGCTTCGAGGGCAGCGGCGCCTATGCCAGCGCCTACCATCAAGGTGCTGGGTGCAGGATCGACATCTACTACCACTCCAGCGAGCCCTACTACCAAGCCACCCTGCAAGTATTTCCTGAAGCCGAGCGGCTGTCGACGAGGTCAGCGATGTCCGTATCCCCACGACCTCAGCGGACTAGGCAGGATAGAGCGCTCAAAAAAGTGCCTTGCCTGTGGGAGTGAAGATCACCGGCAGAAGGACTGCCCCACGAAGGTTGTGAAGCCGAATACCAGGACCCAGATCAGCCCGCAGTCACCTACGACGGCTATGCCTACCGGAGCTCCCAAGGTGAGCAGCATGGAACCTGAAGGGGAAAGCTCGCCTTCGTCGACCTCCCATGTGGTTACAGGAGAGCCGGTGTGGACACTTGAGAGCTTACTTCAGGCGGCTGCAAAAGTAGCTGGCGTCCCACCACAAGGGCCAAAGCCGCCGTCAGTAAATGTGCTGGCGTTGAAGAGGGCACCTACCAGCTCAGATGATCTGTCGATGTTTGCCTTGGTTGACTCAGGTGCTACTCATGCATTGCGCCGTGCCCACTCACAGGAGGAGTGGAGTGAAGCAGAGTCTGTTACGGTGAACCTGGCAGGCGGGGAGTCGATTGGGCTTCGGATGAATGCTGCAGGAACAATTCTGGTGCCGGTGTCTTCGGTGACGTCAGCGACCTCAACAGCCCCAATTGTTCCCCTCGGAGCTTTGGTTTCCCAGTTGGGGTATACTATGACCTGGGGGAAAACAAAGTGCAGGCTGGAGGGCAAGAATGGCGAGCTGATCACTTTGCGAGTTCGTGAAGGGTGTCCAGAAGTAACTGAGCAGGAGGCCTTGAAGTTGATCTCGCAGTTAGAGGACGCCCGTCTGCAGGAGCTTCGCAACAACACGGCCGAGACAAGGACCCGGGTGAGGGCAGCAGCGCTTGCGATGGAAAAGACGTGGTTCGATCACCTTCTTGCGTATGTGGACGGCGAGCTGTCCTCAGAGGCCCCGAAGGCCGTGGAATCGGCACCCTTCTTGCAAGAAGTCCCGGCACCGTGCAAAGTGGGCCTTACGGAGCCGTTCCCGGAAGCGAATGGATGGCAGGCACTGAAGGGCCTCGAGCACTTGAATAGGAGGACTAGAAAGAGGCTGTGGTCTTCAAACCAGTGGGTAGTGCATTTGTTCGCGGGCAAAAAGGAGAAGCGCGACCTCTACCATCTCGAAGGCCATGGCTACTGTGTTCTGGAGCTGGACATTGAGCGGGGCCGCACCCACGACCTTTTGAGATCCTCAACATGGCGGGCTTTGGAGTATGGTGCTAGGAAGGGCAAGATCGCAGCGATCATTGGCGGACCGCCCCAGGGCACCTTCATGATCTCCAGGCACGTTACAGGAGGGCCAGAACCTGTCCGTTCAAACGAGTACCTGTACGGGAACTGGGCAGGGCAATCGGATTCGGACGTTTGGGAGGTCAATCGTGAGACCCAGCTCATTACGAGGATGATCTACCTTCATGCGCTATCTACGGCAGGGAGGATTCGCTCGGGCCCCACTCCGGAGTTTCGACGAGAAGTAGCTTTTCTGTTGGAGCATCCCAGAGATCCTCGTGGCTACTTGAAGTTCCAGGACCCGTTGTATCCCGATGTGGTGAGCTTTTGGAGGACCTCGCTGTGGACAGAGTACGCGATGGAAGCCGGGCTGAGTACTCAATGCTTTGACATGGCAGCGTTGGGAAAGGCCTTTACCAGACATACTACCATCGGTACCAATCTGTCTCTCAGGCACCTCAATGGCCTGAGAATGCGGTGGCACACAGACGGGCCGGCGCCTGAAAGAGCTCCAGCATGCGTGTGGCCTGCGGAGTTCATGGAGCATGTGGTGTTGGCACTGAGAGAGTGGGCGAAAGTTCCCAGGATGTTGAAGATGAGTGCGGACCAATGGCGCGAGCACGTGAGAAAGGGACATCTTCCTTTCCGTGCCGATTGTGCTGTGTGCGTACAGGCAGGAGCAACTGGTCGTCGTCACGCACGAGTAGAACACCCGTCGGCGTTTGTGTTGTCGGCGGATTTGTCTGGGCCGGTTAAAGTCGGAGGTGTTGATCCTGAGGGACGTGGTGCATTCCCAAAGCCGTTCAAGTACATCTTCGCGGCGAAGCTGAAAGTCCCTAGGAACTTTGTGGAAGATGGCCGCGGTGCTTGGGTTGATTATGATCCTGGGGAGCTAAGTCCTGAAGCCTATGAAGAAAAAGATGATGGACTTGCAGATGAACAAGGAGATCGGGAGGAATGCCGTGCTTCCCCAGGGGATGGTGATGCCGATGAAGAGCCAGAGCGAAAAGAAGTTCCCCGGAGAGATCATGAAGAAGACCTCGATCTGGCTGCGCCTGAGATGGTGAACCTTATCTTTGCTTGTGGCTTGAAGGACGATAAAGCTACCACGGTTCTTGAGGCGATCCAGGATGTGGTGCTCTACTGCAAGGCCCTCAATATTCCGGTGCTCAGGTTCCATACGGACCGAGGTATGGAGTTTCGCGCCAGAGCCACTCGCCAGTGGCTAAAGAGCGAAGGCATTCGCGTGACCGCCTCGGAGGCGGGAGTTCATCAGACTAATGGAGCGGCCGAGTCCACGATTAGGTGGCTGAAGCAGAGGGCAAGGACTTTGCTACTGTCGGCAGGACTCCCGCAGCACCTGTGGGCATCAGCTATGAGTACGGCATCTTCAATGCAGCGTGGAGATGTGTTGGGGTTTGAACCTAATCTGGCGGCTCCCTATGGTGCGAAAGTTATGGTCAGGAAGCGCCACCTCGACGGACCAAAGCTCGATGATCTGGCACCCAGGTGGGTGTCGGGGGTGTACGTGGGGCTGTCAGACAGCCTAAGCAAAGGCCACCTGGTGTATGTGAAGGACGATGACGGTGAGCGTTTTGTTCACACACTTCATGTTCGAGCTGGCTTACATGATCCGGGACCGGTTGATGGCGAATTTCACGCCGAGCTTCCAGAGCCACCTGAGCGGCGTGTTCGAGGAAAGTCGGCAGGTTCTGGAGATGTGGTGAGCGTGTCCAAGGCTGAAGTGATGGATGACTTGGAGTTCAAGCGACGGGCACAAAGTCTTCTCAAGGACTGGGTCCAGGAGGAGGCGGAGGCTTTAGTGAAGGAGGTTGCTCGCTTGCTGCCAGACGATGAGAAGATCTATGGAATGTTTCGTCACGGAGGACGTCTGGGAATCACCAAAGCAGCCGTTGAGAGACCATGGTTCGCAAAGGTGCTGGCCAAGTTGCTGAAGACCCGGGCCCCGGATGCGGAGTTTGCGGCAGTGTATGTTTCGATGAACAATGAGCGTGAGGTTCACATCGACAAGAACAATGCCATGGGGGCCGTGAACTACATCCTCCCACTGAGTATGCCAAGACGAGGTGGAGAACTGTGGATGGAGTTGCGTGATGGTGACGTGGTGTCGGGAAAGGTGATTGAGTTGATCTCCGGTGAGGGAAGGGCCAGATATGGATGCGCTTTTCCACTTCAGGAAGGCACAGTGTTTACCTTTGATCCCCATAGACGTCATGCAGTGCTTCCATGGAAAGGTGAAAGGATTGTGGTGGTTGGATACACTCCTGGACTGCTGGATTCGATGCCTTGCCTCGACAAGGAGATGCTGTGGGACTTTGGTTTTCCTTTGCCGCTGGATGAAAGCGAGTCAGCTCCAGAAGTGTATATCAATGCTTTGTCAGTGTCTTCGGTGAAGCAGCACAAGCGAGTTGAGGAGGAGGATGTTCCCTTGAGAGGAGGTGATTGGCAAGAGGTGATTGAAGCTTCGGATGGGGAGTACCTCTTCAAGTGCGACCGAGCAATTTCTCACCGGAGCAGCGGTTCTTTGCCCTCCAGTTCGGCAGCTGTGTCGCCGCAGGACACCAGCCCAGCGCAGGTTCCTGTTGAGAGTTGGAGTGAGTGTGAAATGCAGTTGGTGCTGTGTGAAGGGCAGGGTGAAGTGAGCACAGCGGTAGTTCCACCAAGAAGCAATCGGAACCCTTCGTTGTACAAGGTTGAGGTTACCTACACTGAGGGAGTCGAGAGTATTCTTCAAAGCCTAACGTCGCCCCTCTCCGTTGTGTACACCGTCAATCCCAGGGAACTGGCGCCAGAGTTTGAGAAATGGGCACCATCGTTGAAGAAAGAGATGTCGTCCCTGGACCATGCGGTGGAAAAGGTGATGTCAGATGACCCGGATGTTCGTGATGATTTGGCATCAGGCAGAGGGCAACTCATTCCGATGAAAGTAGTCTACACCGTGAAGCCGCCTGATCAACCCTCTCAAGGCGGGCAGCCCACAGAGCACTTCAAGCGGAAGTCTAGGATCGTGATCTGTGGGAACATGGCCTCGCATCATGCTGGCGAAGTGTACGCGAGCACGGCCCCAGCAGAGATCGTGAGGGCAGCTATCGCCCTAGCCAGGTTCTTCAATTGGAACTTGGGGCTGATTGACATAGTGGCAGCGTTTCTACAAACACCGTTTAGCGCGTTGAAAGGTGCGCCGCTCGTGTACGGCGTCCCTCCTAAAGTGCTAGTACGTGCAGGACTATGTCGCCCCGGCGAATTGTGGAGGCTGACTCATGCAGTTTACGGCCTTCAAGAGAGTCCGAAGCTATGGGGTTCATACCGAGACATGAGGCTAGCGCAGGTGCAGTTGGTGGTGGACGGGAAACGAGTGACGCTACTTCAGGGTCGAGTTGAGCCTTCGTGGTGGTCCATCATGCAAGAGGGGTCGGTCCTGATCGGGGTGTTGGTGGTCTACGTTGATGACCTGTTGTTGTGCGCAAGGACCGAAGTTATCAAGGAGCTGGCTGCGGCGATCCAGTGCATGTGGAGGACGAGTCCTCTCCAGTTGGTCACCGAAGGAGAGATTAGATTTTTGGGGATTGAGATCTCGAGAACAACCCAGGGGTTTGCATTGTCTCAGAAGTCCTACCTCGATGAGCTGTTGCGTTTACACGAGATCCCCGCCAGAAAGCGTGACCTAGTCCCCGTGACCAAGGAGCTGGTAAGTTTCGTTGCTGCTGAAGATGAAGCTCCCAATGACGAAGGAGAGGTTCGTGCGGCACAACAGATAGCTGGTGAACTGTTGTGGATCAGTCAGAGGACACGCCCTGATGTGGCGTTTGTGTGCTCGTTGATTGGTTCATTGGCCACGAGAGCTCCGAGAAGGGCGCTGGAGATTGGACTGAAGACGTTAGCGTACCTTCAAAGGACCAGTGAGAGGAGACTATTGTTCGAAGGAGGTTCCCGCTACCTCGCCGGCTTTGTGGACGCGTCGTTCGCCCCAGACGCCAACCGGTCTCATACCGGTTGGATCATTCAGCTGGCCGGGAATGTGATAGCCTGGCGATCTTCGAGGCAATCATGCATAAGCTTAAGCACAGCCGAAGCGGAGCTTGAGGCAGCGGTTGAGGGGCTGGTTGCGATCCAAGGCATTCAGGCGGTGTTGCAGGACATTGGCGCCGGGATGTTTGCCATGCAGATGCACTCAGATAGCACCTCAGCGCTAGCGATAGCTCATGGGTCGTGCAGCTGGCGAACTAGACACCTTCGGTTGAAGAGCGCGTGGATCAGCGAGCTAATTGACAGGAATGTTGTCGAGTTCAGCCATTGCCATGGTGAAGTTCAGCCGGCGGATATGTTGACGAAGCCGTTATCATCTGCAAGGATCAAGTCCTTAAGTTGCCTGGTTGGATTGCTTGATGAGATGGAGTCTTTGTGCTCGGTGGCTTCAGTCCAGGAGGAGCAGGCAAGCAGCAGCAGACAGTCCGGCAGCCCAGCAGCACAGCACCTTAACCCGATCCCTAAGGTTCTAATTGCTCTTTTGGTACTGACTCAAGCTGTATCGGGAGAAAGAGTTCATGAAGAACAAGGAGTGGTAGTCTATGGAAGTGGAGTTTCTGTTGACTATGGATTGGTGACATGGCTGGTGATGTGGTGCCTGGTGTTGGTTGGTGTTTTATCCTGGGAAGCACTGAAGTGGATCGCGTGGATGATATATGATCGAGCATCCCCAGGCTCGACACAAAGGAGGCTTCGACGTCTTCAAAGGTTGAGGGATGCGACGGCCGAGGCAATCCACCGTGAAGTGAGTGCCCGGGTGGGTTCTCGAGCTGAACAGCGGGCTCGGGATTCCAGGGAGATGCCTAGGAACCAGTTACCAAATCCACCACGAGAAGCAGATCCTCACGCCGAGGAGCGAATGAATCTGCTTAGACGGCTAGCGCATGGGGTGAAAGAGACGAGAGAGGCGGCGATTCAAACCTCCGCCTTTACTCCAGTGCATGGCCCTTCGACGAGGGTTATTTTGAGGTATGTACATGAACCCCCCGAGGCTACCTATGTGGTTCCAGAAAATGACTGCTTCCATGTCTATGAGGACTGCCATGCGTTTCGACACAGAGGCACTCTGCAGAAGGTCGAGCGAAGAAGGCTTTGCCGATACTGCAGCAATCGGGCGTCTGATGATCCGGACAAAACGCCGGACTACGGGCGGGACCTTGAAAGGGCTCGCGAGTACGAGCGTGTCTTCAACACCACACTTCTGACATCTGGACAGAGTTCTGGAGTGGCCGAAGCCTGACGGCTAGGCCAAGGAGGAGTGAGGAAATGTGTCAGCAAGTGCAGTCGTGTGAGGTCGGCATGTGAGACAGCATACGGCAACTGCGATCCCTGTGGGCTCTAGGGAAGGCTACGGGGAAAGCCCTTGAGCTATGTGAAGAAGTCCTACGCCATTTGTAGGCATGTGCTGAGAACAGTTTACAGCAAAGCATGATCGATCAGACTTTGTACACTTAGTGATCTCATGCTGAGTCTTGACTTAGTCAGCGAAGCTTTGTCGTTGTCGCGGAAAACAATCTTTAGCAGTGCGAAGTCTGGGTTGCCATGGACGGTCCAACGACCTCAAAGGCTGTAAAACCTGACTTTCACTAACAATAACCCTGGTGACTAAGTCCCATGATCCTTTAGGTAGGTATGGTGGGACATTTACGGCCCACAAGCCCTTCCCTGAACCCTAATGTAGGAACCTGATTCAGAAACCCTGGGCCTATAACCCCAAAATACAGCAGCAGGGTTCATAAAAGGAGCCCACATGAAGGCCCAAGGTTTCTTAATAAACCCTGAACCCTGAAACCCTAAACCCTACAAGCCCTAAACCCTAAACCCTAAACCTGTACCCCTAAACTCTATAAGCCCTACACCCCAAAAACCCTAAACCCTAAACCCCTGAACCATAAACCCTATAAGCCCTATCAACCCTAAAACGCTAACCCCTAAAACCCTAAACCCTAAACCCCAAGCCCTGCATTCGGCCTTCTCGAACTGGACCTTGGTAGCCTCTTTGATCTGGTTCATGGGGCTTCCACAGCCCGTGTTCATGCCCTGCGGCTAGGGTTTATATAAGGGTTTAGGGTTTATAGGGTTCAAGGTTTATAGGGTTTATGGGGTTTTGAAGGTTTATAGGCTTTTTTTGGTTTATAAGGTTTGTAGGCTTTTTCGTGCTTTTAGGGCCTTAGGGTTTGGAGTTTTTTTGTTGAGCAAATTTAGGGTTTATAGTGATAAGGGTGCGGCTGCACAAGTTGACAAGGCTTCATGGGTTTTAGGGTCCAGTTTCTGGGGGTTCAATACCAAAAAACCTCATACATGGTCCAGGGTTTAGGGTTTAGGGTTACATGGTGATTCGTAATTCCCTCGAACTTTACGTGTCACCAGGCCTTTCTGCTGCAGCTGTCTCGTGCACCTAGCATGTCACTACCTGGAAACTCAACCCTAAATCCTAAACCCGAAGCTCATGCAAACTCTAAGCCCACAGAGACGGGCCTGAGTTGTTGTTTCTTCGACCTTATGCTTGCACTCAACAACGTGCAACAAAAGATGCGCCGCGCGGTCCGCGCATGATTCGTAATGTCACTTTATGCGCACAGGGGCTCCGTGGCTAAGTCAGCGCTGAAGTGTACCTATAACGCTACATGCCGAGTCCATGTACCGTGGCCGTAGTACCTAGCCCGTCTAAGGCCTACTACGTATATATATATATATATATATATATATACCATATATGTTGGGTATATGGATCTCCACCGGTACCCATGCCAGTCCATATCATGGCTTTAAGCCACGCAGCCCCTCCTGTGCAAGCAGCACGTGAAGGTTTAGACGGGAAGGCCTGCGGGTAGAAGTTGTCCCCCACGTTCAGGATGTAATGGACGCCGGTCCTGCGACGACCGAGGGAGGAGGTCAAGAGCAGTGGGAGGAACGGGGGGAGGCAGGCTCCTTCACGCTCTGATACTCCGAAAAGTTTGTGGCTGAATTCGGGCGGGCGCAGGCATACCAAACGCCTCCGCGGATTGTCGGCGCGGATTTGGCAGTTCGAGCAAACACCGCACCGTGGCTGGGTTGCAACCTTTGATCGGCTCGGTGTACTCGGAGCCTTCGAGCCAACCGGCGTACCTGCTTGGAGGGTCCGGGGACTTAGTAAGTAGGTAGTAAGTAGACTTATAAGTACCCTAAAAGGGAACCTAGTTGGGGTTATGGTACTTATAAGTCCCCAAAATAACCAGTTACTAAGTCCCCCTAAACCCTAAACCCTTACAGAATCCCTATAGATCCCTTTAAAGGGGCCCTCAAGGAACCCCTTATGCTAAGTCCCCCGACCCTCCAAGTGGAGACGGCCGAGGCGTTGTAGGGAGCTGGAGCCCGGCCCGTTTCCAACCCCAAAGGGTCCTAGGTACTGTTATGGGGCTAGGATACCCAGTAACCTAAGAATAAAAAGGCCTCTCTTTTTTAACTTTATAAGGAACCTAGGACTACAAAAAGGAATAAGGGTACTACTGGGCATCCTAGGGGGAATACTTCCCCAAATCATAGTAACAATTCCTAATATAGAAACCCTACATTCTACTATATAGGTACTTTGGACCCTTTGGGAACATCATGGTCTCCGCGACCATGGTCAAAACGTGCTGCATCAGCTCATTGTGCCTCCCTTGGTGCTTCTCGAGGGCTTGCATCAAAAAGGTCGTCCGCTCCGCAAAAGCTAGCCTCTCCATAGGCATCCACTACCTAGACCCCCCCAACACCCTAAACCTTTAATCCTAAACCCTAAAGCCTAAACCCTCAAGAATACCTGGGGGGGGGGGGGGGGAGGTTCTGGTGAAGAAAAACATAGACTTTGACTGTTGGCCCGCTGGCTTGCAAGCCCTAGAACAAGAGGACCCCCCCAAGGGCCCTTTAATGGAGCCCTTATGGTCCTTAATAGCGGGTATTTGGGGTACAAAGCAGGGCCAGTAGGGGCGTCTACGAAGGGAGCCCAAGTTTAGACAATCACTTCGGGGTGTCGTAAACTCCGAAGCCGAGACATGTGCAAGAGCAATGCGGTTGGTTGATGTTGGAAGCTGCTACATAAGCCCCCATAAACAGGCTGTCTTCTTAAACCCGATACCCCCTAAGTACCGGCACCTCATTAATTAAGGATGAAAAGCAAGCGGTCTTCTCAGCACGCTTCTTCATCTGCTCGGCGACGACCACCTGACGGACGACTGAGGACAAAAACGCCCCTGGACTGCAAACAGTAACGCAGGAACCTGATTAAGGAACCCTGGGCCCATAACCCCAAAATAGTAAGATTCACATGGGACTCTAATAAAGGCCCAAGGTTTCTTAATCAGGTTCCTACAGTACGTCAGACGTCGGATGCCTGCCTGCGCGTGATCGTCCACACCCGCCACGTAACCACAGGTCTGGCGCAGTCGTCTCACTCTGAGGGTCTTACATCGGCTTCTACAGTTTACCCTAAGGCTCCATGTACCCATATAGTATATCCTTAGGCCTTAGGCTTTAAAGTACCTATATAGGGACCCCTTTAATTAAGGCTTAAGTATCTACTATAAGGGTACATGGAGCCTTTGGTTTAGGATCGGATGTGAGCTTTGTCGGTTTAGGGCATAGGGTTCAGGTAGCACTTTGCATGCCAGGGAACTTCAGTGTCAATGCTTTCAGACATGCATATCAGATCTTGAGCGTGAAGGTTCTGGTTTTTCTCAGTGGGATACCCAGAGAGCCCAATACCCCTTCATTAAGGAATATAGCGTAAATCATAATATGAAGGCCTATATAATTTAAGCCATATTCCTTAATTTAAGGGGTATTGGGCTCTCTGGGTAAGGGCTTACCAGCACCCTAAAAGTTCCCTTTGATGGAGCTCTCATGGTCCTTAAATGTAGGTTTGTGGTGTATGATAGAGGGTAGTGGCTTACCTGGACCCCAAAAGTATGTAGAATAGTCGCCGTTTATAGCTTTGGGGCCATTATTTTACCTACTTTTAGGGATCTAGGTAGGGGTTTTGGTTCAGGGCTTTAGGGTGTGAGGGTTGTTGGCTTGAGGTTTTAGGGTGTAAAGTTTAGGATTCAGCAAGCCGCCGAATCTTCGATCCCTAGGGCAGGTATCTTTCAGTTGTCCCGGTCGTCGAAGCACCGCGTCGGAAATGATCTATATCCCATAAGATCCATAAGCACGAACCAGTGTTTAAAGCCCTGTGCCTGCTTGCAGGAGTCGGGTGCCGAATCACCTGTCTCGGCAGACGTCACGACATCGTGATAGGCCAGTTCAGTTGTTCGACTCGTTGGCTCGTTGCCACCGCTGGCACTGTCTCGATAAACTTGTTTAGTAGAGCAAATGCCAAACAGTTTTGTTGCATCTACAAGCTGAGACTTTGGGTGCAATGGTGGTAGCGACAAAGGAAACTACTGAGCCTGAAGTGGTTTATTGAGGAACCTGACCCCCCGATGCAGCAAGAACACACCGGCCTCAACAAAACTGCATAACAAAACACTGAGAGACCGCACTCCGAAGAGTGCCAAGGGCTGACGACCGTAGGGTATTCGAGCTTTCGACTATGCGCGCATCTATGGCTCGCTGCCGGGGAATATCTCACGAAATCCTTGGGCACCTATGCTAACTCCGAAATCCTTCCCCACGAAGCCCCTGAATAGGGGCATTAATAATTACCAACACTATTTCGGGGGTTCCTTGTTACAAATTTTGATATACTGGGCCCCAAAACCTTATTCCTATCATTAAGGCCCCTGCATTCACCCCAGATCCTCCTGTCAAGGGGCCCGTCTCGTTGAAACAGTTCTTCATGTCCAAAATCCCACAGGCAGACCTGTCACAAACAGATCGGACGGTTGGCAGGGATGTAATGCGCTTTGGATTGAAAATAAAGGATTCTAGCATTCGAGCGTCGTACTACAGTACCACTGCAGAGAGGTATTGGCGAACTATGCTGCTACGCCTTCGGGCATGACGCTTCAATTGACCGGGACAGTAAAGGGATGCTCGTACGTCATTCAGACACGTGTAGCTGAATTCATAAGGAGGGGGCGGCCTAGTGGCTAAGGGTCTCAGCCATAGCTCAACCCGAAACGCTTTATACCGGTTGATGATATAAATCATGCATTACCCATCATAAGGAATGTAGCAAAATTCCCATAGTCTAGGGTCAACAAGGTATTGCAGGAATTGTATCATCAACCGTACGCAAGAAGATAGCAAAAGAACGGTGGTCTGGTTTGCTTAGGGTCT